CATAACAATTGATTACCTGGCAGGAACCATCTGTATTGATTTTATTGATTGAAGCTCGGTAGTATTCTCCATCTTCGAACATAGCAAAGCAAGGCTGACCTACTCTCCAGGCATGTGGTATTTGCTCATCAGAATTTTTTATGATGTTTTTGATTTCGTTTGAAATTTCTGCGGCGGTTTCAATGTTTTGCTCATCCATAAAAAATATAGTGCCTTGTTCATTCACGTGTGTTATGACTCCACGTACGACTGGTGCAATAGTCATCGGGGGTAACCAATCAGGAAAATGTTCTTCAGTTTCGATGCTGACATCATCAGAATCAAGTTCCAAGTTCCGCATAAGCTCCAAATGTGAAATATCTTCAGAATTGAGGCTCTCATTGCAAGCATTCGATGGTTAGATGGTTAGATGGTTTTACTAATTCTTTAGATGATTTTCTCAATTTTTTAGACGATTTTCGTAATTCCTTTAGACGATTTTCGTAATATTTTTAGACGTTTTTTACAATTTTTTTAGATTAAAATGAATTATTCTTCTAGACGATTTTCAAGCCAGAAAAAACAAATCGGACTTTTAGACGATTTCGACATTATTTTAGATGTTTTTTACACACATAAAAATATGAGAATTTTTTAGACGATTTTCGCAATTCCTTTAGACGATTTTTTCAATTCTTTTGACAAATTCTTTAGATGTTTTTGTAAATTCTTTAGATATTTTTGTGAATTCTTTAGACGTTTTTCTAACATCTTTAGATGATTTTTACCAAAAAATTGAAAATTCAAATTAGATGGTTTTACTAATTCTTTAGACGATTTTCACAATTCTTTGGACGATTTTCACCCCAAAAAATATGGACACCTTTTAGACGATTTTCTCAATTTCTTTAGATTCAAAATGAATTATTTTTTTAGACGATTTTTATATTTTTTTTCAGACAATTTTACACATTTTTTAGACGAAAAACATTTAATCCATAGATAACGACTTGATGTCTACGGCGAAGTTGTAGTACATAAACTAGTCTACAACACTGCTACAGACACCAAGTCGATATCTCTTATCATAGTCCAGTTATAATATAAAATAGCCATGGGGCCCTGGAGTCCCCCAAGAACAACAGCGTAACATGTTTTGCGGTAGGCTGTATTTTACACATACTCACACATATGTATATGTTTTTTCATTCGTGTAGAGAAATGTTCAATCTATACAATGAGTCTTAACTCCGGTTGGTTTATACACTGTTTAGTACTTTTATTCAACTTTAAAGTTCGCTGGGGGCCCTGGGTGCCCCAAGAACAATCATAGTGTTAATATATTTGAATAAATCTATGTGTAGACGTTCTCTGCGCAAAATTGATACAGTTGAAGATTGAATGTGACGTAGAGAAGTTTTCTCCAAAATTTAAAGCAACTCACATCCATTTTAACATTTTGACGGATCAAAATGATGAAATTACTGGCGGTGGTGCTGCTCGCGGCAGGTTTCAATGGTTTTCTGGCAGGTCTGCTTAGTTATAATTCAACTGTTTTATATACCGATTTCCAATTTTTTTTTTATATTTCAAATAACTTTCTTAATTTTTTTTCACAACATGATTAGAAAATCAAAAGGATTATACGCAGAGTGATGGGTAAGTCAACAAGTCAACATCTTAAAAACAACACTTGGAATAGTGTTTGGTAGCTTGAAATAATTTGATTAATATGATTTAAAAAATCGAATATATAAAATCGAATGATAATTCATCAACATAAACAATGTTAATCAAATCATTGGCCCAAACATTTTGAATAAATTCCTCTGGTTTTTTGAAAAATTCAAAACAGCATGGACTGAATCACGTCTGATTCTATTTTTGGAGTATGTTTAATAGCAAAAAGCAATTCTGGGCAGCAACATTTTTTTATTTGTAGCGCGGGCCCATCGAACGCGATTAGATATCTGCAAATAATTGTAAATGAGAGACCTTCATCTTAGAATTATTCAAATAGAGCTTTCCTCTACATTTTATGTCATTATAAACTCAATTCAAATAAAGTTTTTGTTTGTTGAAGAAAAAATTCATTTCTCCCATATCAAGGAATAATTCAGTTGAGCTGCTTGGTGCAATCGAAAAAGGTAGGCCGCATTTTTGTTATTATAATGTAAATTAATAACAAATTAATAAAAAAAATGTTCGCTCTAACATTGGTTCATATCTAGGCAACATGAAAACAATAGAATATTTGGTTAAAAAAGGAATAAATACAAGCGTACGATTTTCTAATGGACTAAATCCAATTCATGTGGCTGCGAAAATAGGTAAATATAAATGAATGTACAGCTTAGGTATGGTGCCGCGATTTTGCACTAGAAATGGAATTTGTGCGAATAGATTTTTCGAAATAATTGTATCAGTTCTGTGTTCCCTTTAGTTACTAGAATTGACTATGGTAAAGTTTTTTTTTCGTTTGATATTGCAATGAATGTTCGGAAATTGTGAGTCCCACAAATCTTAATCGTCCAGAAAATTTAAGTTTTTTTCCGAAAACAAACTACTTAAGACTTCTGAACGTTCATTGTACATTCTCATGAAGGGAATTGAAATCAACTGAAAATATCAATTTTCGCTTGGACTTACGCTAAAAAGCTTAAAGCCCCACTCTGAAAGCCTACGAGACAAACTTTAACTTTCAAACTTAAAAAACAAGTGATTTTGATTCATAATCCAGGTCATGCAAATGTCACTGAATTCCTCATCGAACACGGTGCTGACGTCAATGCTGCTAATCTCGATAAATGGACACTGCTTCATTTTGCAGCGCGAACCCTACAAGAATTTTGCGATACATTGAGGTTTACGTCGACATGTCGCCGTAAAGCAAAACCTTTCCGCGACATTCCGCATTGCGATAGGTTTTAAAATGTACAGGTTTACGCATAATCATTACGTCGACATATCTGCGACATATCGCATTGCGTAAACCTGTAAATTCGAATTGTATCCAACTTCATTACATTGAAAACATAATTTCAAATGGTTTTATTTAAACTTTTCATGTTGCTCATCGTTGCTAATAAGAAAAAAAACTTATTCAAAATAATTATTAAGTAGAATAACCAGCCATTGCAGCCTTTAAAAATACAACATGCTGAATTCGAATGAAGTTGATCGCAGTTCATGCATTTTGTGACAACTATTGCGGAAGGTTGGCGATACGTTTGCGTAAACGTGTCGCAAAATTCTTGTAGGGGAAACGGTTATTGTCCAAACTCTTATTTTAGATCATAAAGCTAACCTTTGACTCCAATTTATTCACAATCCAGGTCATGCAAATGTAATTGAATTCCTCGTCGGACAGATAATTAAATTTGATGATTCCGACGGATGTCACTAAAGTGTAGTTGAGCCGTAATTGCATTAGATAACAGAATTAACTTTTAATTTTTGTCCATTCACAATCCAGGTCATGTAAATGTTACTGAACTTCTCGTCGGACTCGGAGCCGACGTTAATACGAAAACACCAAAAGGATATTCGCCACTCCATTTTGCAGCGCAAAATGGTAATGTTCAAACTCTTATTTTAGATTACAAAACTAACTTTTGATTTTGGTCCATTCACAATCTAGGTCATGTTAAAATCATTGAATACCTCATCGAACATGGTGCCAATGTCAATTCTATAGATAATAATGGGACAGCGCCACTTCATATGGCTGCAGCGAACGGTAGTTGCCTAAACTCCTATTTTAGATCACAAAACTAACTTTTGTTTTTGGTGCATTCATAATCCAGGTTATGCAAATGTCACTGAATTCCTCATCGAACATGGTGCCGATGTCAATGCTACAGAATCAAGTAAAAGTACACCACTCCATTTCGCTGTCAGAAAGGGTAATTGTCTATAATCGCAATATTTTTGCCGAATTCCGTTCGAATCAGCCTCAAATTTGATTTGGCAAATCTGGAAGTTTGTACTGCGACCTCAGTAGCTGAAAAATGCCAGTTTTGGCGTCGGATGAAAAACCTCTAGACGAGATTCGCATTCAAAAAGTCGTGACGCGATATTTTTTCTTATTGTGAGTAAATTTTCACAATAATGAATGCGAAAAACACTTTGAACTTCGTATCCAGTGATAATACAGCTTCAAAGCGTCATTCAAAATGATATCAGTCTTTTTGAGTGGTAAATCCACGCACAGGAGCGTCACTCCATTTTAAGCTCCTCTATGAATTTTTCGACTGATTCAAAATAGCAATAGCTATCGCCTATAAATAGCAACTACTAACAGCTCGAAATATAGGCGTATACAAGATGAGATCTCTGTCGAAATTTTTGAATTTTTGAAAACGAAAAAAATCGATGAAAATTTCTCGTTGCATAAAAAATCAACTATCAAACCTTTTGAAAATACTCGTTGTTCTGATTTATTGTAAATATAATCTCCAGATCATATGATCGTCGCAGAAATACTCATCAAACACCGTGCTAACGTCAATGCTACAAATAAAAAGGGAAGTGCTCCAATTCGTTTCGCAGCGGAAAATGGTATTTGCTCGAAATCTTACTTCAGACCACAAAGACAACATTCGATTTTGTTCCATTCACTTTGCAGGTTATGTAAATGCCACCGAGTTCCTTATCAAACACGGCGCCGATGTCAATACAAAAACGCTAAAAGAATATACGCCACTTCATTTCGCAGCGCTAAATGGTAATTAAATAAACTCTTACTTTAGTAGGTATCGTGGCTATTTCCAAAGCGCACGATCGCTCACGATTGCGATCGTTGTAGCCTTTAGAGCATAAAACTAACTTTTGATTTTGGTCCATTCACAATCTAGGTCATGTTAAAATCATTAAATACCTCATCGAACATGGTGCCAATGTCAATTCTACAAATAATAATGGGACAGCGCCCCTTCATATGGCTGCAGCGAACGGTAGCTGCCTAAACTCTTATTTTAGACCACAAAACTAACTTTTGTTTTTGATGCATTCACAATCCAGGTTATGCAAATGTCACTGAATTCCTCATCGAACATGGTGCCGATGTCAATGCTGCAGAATCAAGTAAAAGTACACCACTCCATTTCGCTGTAAACAAGGGTAATTGTCTATAATCGCAATATTTTTGCCGAATTCCGTTCGAATCAGCCTCAAATTTGATTTGGAAAATCTGGAAGTTTGTACTGCGAACTCAGTAGCTGCTAACACGGAGGACGGTAGTCCGACAAGTGACGCTCCATAGACTGTGCATTTCAAGCCAAATGTCAAGAATGCCAGTTTTGGCGTCAGATGAGATACCTCTAGACGAGGTTCGCATTCCATATTGTGAAAATTGACTTACAATAAGGAACAATATCGCGTCACGACTTTTGATTTTAGATCAAGTTTTCAAGCGTTTTGCCATCTAAAAGTCGTGACGCGATATTTTTTCTTATTGTGAGTAAATTTTCACAATAGTGAATGCGAAAAACACTTTTGAACTTCGTATCCAGTGATAATACAGCTTCAAAGCGTCATTCAAAATGATATTAGTCTTTTTGAGTGGTAAATCCACGCACGTCACTTCATTTTAAGCTCCTCTATAGATTTTTCGTCTGATTCAAAATAGCAATAGCTATTGAACTGAAAAATCTGTGGTACCGGACAAATTTTACCTTTTCATTAAATTCTCCGACAGTTCCGATAAATGCGGCTCTGAAGAGTTTATAGTGAGGTTCGGCGGAATTATAGCTGTGCTCACGATTTTTTTTTATTAAGATATCGTAATAAACTAAATATCGTTCGATATCGTTATTATGATTTGACGACCGGTTTGACACTGCCCTTGGCCCATCCTGAAGACTGGGAGCAGTTCTGGACGATCCTGAGGATCCACCAAAACCCACTTCCAGAACTTGATGATTATAAAGATTGAATGTTGATAAATTATCAGGATTCGATCTTAATAACTTCAAAACGATATTATTAAGATTCATCCGGTAACGTTATTATTTGAATATAGTTAATAACCTGATAAAAAATTGATAGCGTTATTAAGATTTATCGGTATTATGATCGGATCTCAATAATCTCTCAAAATTATTAGGATGGTTATTAAGATACGAATATGGCACAGCTATAGGCGGAATTGGCTTACACAAGATTCGAGTTACTTTACATATGTTTTAATTACTATTGCTGGGTCTCAGATGGAATAGGATACAGATCTAATATTACCATCGACGGAAAAAAAATACTTCGTCGGCTCTTATTACTATGCCCAGGCCAATTCAGTTCTGTTCGACTGATTTCTTTGCAGTTGGCCAGAACGCTTCAGTCACCGTTGGGCGCCTTATGCTAGCTAACCTTTGATTTGTATGCGTTGACTAATTAATTTTCACTCATTCGGCAGTCTACGGCGGGAAAAATCGGCAGCCAACCGTGGTGTCGCCCCTTGGTCGTGTCCGGCAAATTTTCACTCAGCTCTCGGTGGCTGTTCCTTCGACTGCAACGCTCGACGGATCCAATAGCATGTGTGCATGCGTGTGACGTATGTGGATCGTTCGTATGGTGGGTGGTTTACCCCTACGTACTCGTACGGAGAATGTGTTATCCCCACGTACTCGGCACTACGGTATTCAGATACAAATGTCAAATGAGTGTTTCGCTCTCACCATCAATCGAGTTACTTACGTTTAAGTCTGCCACTCTTGTATCAAAATTTCCTTCGGGCTATCCAAAATATTCGACTGCTGGCCCCTTCGACGGTGTACAATTTGTTCCTATCTTGATTCAGATGAAAATCGTCGGTAAATTCGCGTAAAATGTGGTGTGATAAATTTGTGCGCTTGTTTCACTTGATTTCATGCAATCGAATGTGACAGGTTCATTTTGCACCTGAAGTTGAATGCAGGTATCTTGCGGGGAGCACATGGCATACCGCTGCGCACCGCCATCTAGTAGTCACGACAGGAACACATTGTATCGTCGGTAACATTTTTAGTACACAGAGAAAACATAACCTCTAAATGTCATCGCAAACCGGGATAAACCATATATTTAATGGTGCTGACATCTACTTTTGCGATAAATTCTATCGCATTTGTGTATGTCAACACCATTAAATGTATTGTTTTTCCCGGTTTGCGATAGGGTTTAACGAAATGTCAAAAATTTCTTTTCTGTGTGTACTACTGCTAGAAAGAATTTCCCTGCCGTTTCCATCTCAAAATGAGTACAAATTTCACTTATTTCTCATGCTCAGACCATTTTTTGTTTACACACAATTTATTATCAAAATGCAAAACAAAACCCAATTCAGCAACATGTCAATCGACAGCACATTTTAACCGAAATTCGCCACAGATGTAATAGTTCTTGGCGTGATCCGAAATGATTTTTACGCATTAAAATTATTGTCGGTTCACTATCGCCTATAAATAGCAACTACTAACAGCTCGAAATATAGGCGTATACAAGATGAGATCTCTGCCGAAATTTTTGAATTTTTGAACACGAAAAAAAATCGTTGAAAATTTCTCGTTGCATAAAAAATCAACTATCAAACCTTTTGAAAATACTCGTTGTTCTGATTTATTGTAAATATAATCTCCAGATCATATGATCGTCGCAGAAATACTCATCAAACACCGTGCTAACGTCAATGCTACAAATAATAAGGGAAGTGCTCCACTTCATTTCGCAGCGAAAAATGGTATTTGCTCGAAATCTTACTTCAGACCACAAAGCCAACATTCGATTTTGTTCCATTCACTTTGCAGGTTATGTAAATGCCACCGAGTTCCTTATCAAACACGGCGCCGATGTCAATACGAAAACGCTAAAAGAATATACGCCACTTCATTTCGCAGCGCTAAATGGTAATTAAATAAACTCATACTTTAGAACAGAACGATATATCATTATAGTGGGTATGGGCATGTAACAATTTTACTTAGCGTCTCTTGTACACTATAAAGGTGTCAAACGGACGGACTGTCCGTCTTTTTTGCCCGTCCGTCCGTCCGTTCAGCTTGGTCGGACGGACGGACGGACGGACAACAAAATTTCGTTTTTCATTGATTTTTGACGTGAAAAATACGAGAAAAAAATTTTAGTAACTGATTTGTAAGCAGCTTCTCATTTGAAACAGCTCAACCTATTTTCGCGTCAAAAATAAATGAAAATTTTTCGACGGACACGGACAAAACGTAATTTAGTTGTCCGTCCGTTCAGGACTCTTAGAAATTTCCTTGTCCGTTCGTCCGTCCATTCAGGACCCTCAGAAATTTACTGCATTAGCCTGGTCCAACTTTCTCTCCTTTTCAGCCTTGTCTTTTTCAGTTTGTTGAAACTTCTCGAATTCTTGGAACATTTGATATCTCTTTAGCTTGTAGCAGTCTTGCGTTTTATGTGTGTTTTTCTTGCAGAAATAGCAAAAAGTTACTTCTCTGCAATTTGCGATTTTCATGACTTTTTCTTCACTTGTTTTTACTTTTTCATCTTCTTGATCATTTTGCCTTTGCCATTCATCTATAAGTTTTGTGTAAACAAGACTCCAACATAAATCTTCCTCAGCTCGTGTTTCTAAGGCTGTCACTAGTGTAGAATATGATGAAGGAAGACTTGCCAATACAATTCCTATTTTCCATTGTTCGTTAGGAATGTCACCCATGTCTTCTAGCTTGGAATAGTCCAATCAGGCTGTTAAGATGGTCTTCAATTTTGTTTCCCTCATTCATTTTGCTCATTGCTATCTTTTTGTAAATCGAAATGCGGTTTGTTAATGTGTGCTTTTCGTGAATCTTCTTCAAACAATTCCATGTTTCCGAAGCAGTCGTTTTTCCACGAATGTGGATCAATTGATTGTCTTCAACCAAAAGTCCGATGGTAGTTCGAGCTTTGTTGTCTCTTTTTCTCCATTCACGCAAACGAGCAGGAGTAGAAGGTGGATCATCTTCGATAACATCCCACAAATCTTGGTTTATTAAAAGTAGTTCAACTTTAAATTTCCACGTAAAATAGTTCGAGTTATTAAGTTTGTCGATTTTGGATAATTTTTCCATTTTGTTTTTGTTTTAAAGGTTTTTCCCGATTTTGGATTCTAGAAACACTCGTAGTTTAAATGGTTTTTCCCTTTTTATTCACAACGGCCCATAACCAATGTTAGAAGTGAATAAATAATAAACTATATTCGTTGAGTGAGAATAATAGAATGAATGATTTATTTCACTTTTTATATTCCATAGTACACTTAGATCAACAACAATATTACGATTGGACATTAAAATCACTAAAGAAAAGTGCCAAAGTACAGGAAGGTGGGGAAATTCGGAACACACATCGAAATAATTTGATAACATTCTAAAAAAATAACATTTTTCCAAATTTCAAAGTGGTACGACTCAGTAAATGCAAAAACTCAATCTTTAAACCTTGCCGCTTGTTGAAATTCGAATCGGTCGAAAAAATTTACCTCGTTGGCAGAAAACCCTTGATTTTGCCATTTTAAATGGATAGAAAACTGAAACAATTTTGATGCTAAACGTTTATGGAGAACTAGGAAATGACAGAAGAATTAATTTTAATGAGGAAAAAGTTCAAAAATAGCGATTTTTAATAGTCGGATTTGTAATTGTTGCCTGTGAAATAGCTACCAATCATTTTGGTGCATTTCAAGTGCTCGATCGCATAAATTGCAATGAGTAATTTGTCAAAATTTTGCATGAAATATAATATAATAATAATTGTATAAATTTTGCATGAAAAAAAGTGATATCAACTTGAAAAGTATTAACAATCACTTGGTCAATTTTTCGTATATGGGGCGTTCCCAAAATTCCCCACCCACTAAGGTTTACAGCATAATCGTGTCACCGCGATAGTCTCGATCATTAAACGTCAAACCAACAACGTCACACATTATGACGGGAACTACATTGATGAGTGTATTCAATGCAGTGTCAAACATAGTCGTCATTGTGTTGTGTGGTGAAATAATAAGAATTATTTGAATTTTAAATAAATAAAAATGTTCCGATTCTGCCAAATGAAATTGTGCAAATATTCCGCTGGCACACAAGACAAAAAATTGCTTTCTTTCGGTAGATTAAACCCGTATTTAAGAAAAATTGTTTTTCTTCCATTTTCAATTGAGTTGTATGAGAGAAAATTACGGTTTTATATGATATATTGGAGTTTCCATAATTAAAAAAAAAACACAAAATGTTAGACGACGATTCCACACCAAGCGGGACAAAATTTGCAAGTGACCTCTCCGATTTCGCTCAAACTTGGTGTATAAACTTCTTATGGGCAAAAACTCGCAAAGCCAAAAAATTGGAGTGACCTTCTCCACCTGATTAAAAATTAGGGTGACCCAAACATTGAAAAAAACGAAAAATGGCACTTTTATCATACTTTAAGACTTGAAAACTGTGGTACAAGCTTTCGAAACTACAGTCATGGAAATTTAATTAGGACCGGCATTGAAATTTCAGTTTTTTCCCATTAATTCTGTTATTTTACAAAAAAATATTCATGAAATGATGTTTATGAGAATATTTGAAGTTTTTATAAATGGACTAGACTATCAATTTCATTATTTTCGGTAATGGATATCATTTATTGATGAAATTGCCCAAAAACTGCGGGAAAAATAATTAAGACCTTCCATACAAATAATGACAAAATTTTTCGAAAAATCGGAAAAGTAGTTCGATCATTAATCGACGATTTTGGAGTCATTTTTGTGGCGTCTCCACTCGCATTTAATTTGTATTGTAGAAGCTTGCTTGTCAAAGTTCAAACATCATTGCAAACATATGGAAGTGGAGGAAATGACGCCAAGCTGAACGAGGTTATTTATCATTTGTTTGACAAAATTCACTCCACCGATGGTCGTATTTAATTGAAATACATTTTTTCCACATTATCATTTAATAGATTTCAAATTTCTTAACAAATACGAAAAGTTACAGACCAAACTATGATTCTTCCACAATTTTTCATACAAAAAATGCTATAAAGTTTAGTTCCTTGTGGCATATAACACGTGTCACTTATATGGCTCAAATTTGGCATTGGGGAGGCTAATATTGAAGAAAAAGGTGAAAAAATCGCACAATCACACCAGAGGGGCGAAACCGAACTGTCATCATCAATTAAAACGCGGCTGTCAGAATAAAGTACAAATTAAATACACGCCAGACAGTCTTAAGTGCACCTTCGTAGAACGACTCGTTGAATTTGAACTACTATGTTTGAAAAAGACAACGTATTTTCGTGAACGTATATTATTCATGGAGTGAATAAAAATGATAAAATCAAGTGGAAAATGAATATTTGTGTAAAATTATGTTGTTTCTTTATTTCCTATTTAAATGCAATGAATGATTTGGATGACACATCCACATTATCAAATTTAGAAAAATGTTTCCAACATGAACATATTTATCTAAGTTTTCTTTAGATTTGCTGATGTTCAAATGAATTTTGAAATCAATTAATTCAATTTTCTCATTTTTTACGTTCGCTTCCTACAAAGTGAGCTTGAAAATGTGTTTCAGGAGCCATGGGAATAAAGTGGCTCCTTAAACACACAATGGCTTTGTTCCACCGAGTGCACAAATTTGTTCTACTCATTGAACATGTCAGTAGATACTTAACCTCACTTTGTCAATCAAAAACAAGAAAAATGTTAGCAAAGAATTTCTGAGCAAAAAAAAGAAAGTTCATATTCTTTTTCGGTATTTTTTCAAACGTTTCTAAAATGTTATTAAAAATGGGTTTTCATATTAATACACTAGGTATATTTTTATAAATAATTGAAATATTTTTTAACCAGAATGCTTGAAATATGTACTCATGTACTTATGCATACTTCTAGCGCGTTCCGCAACGAATGACAACCGACTACGCGGTCCCCGTTGTAGTTTGACAGTTCGGTTTCATGGCTCTGAATCACACCACAACTGCCGAAATCAAGGCAGTGGACCTGATTTTTGACCAAAAATGATTGCATTTTCGAATTCCTCGTCGAAAATTAGGTTAAGAATAGCTAGTTTAAATTTTTTTAAGCTTATCTTCAATTTAAAAAAAGCTCGAATGGTTGAATGTTCAAATATACTAAAATTGAGTGTGAGTATTTGAATGGAGTTTTTAATTGTTGGCAACATCAATCTGAGTATCATTTGAAGTCTTGATTCAATTTTGAATAGACCATTCTTGGGCTAATTTTCGATGAGGAATTCGAAAATGCAATCATTTTTGGTCAAAAATCAGGTCCACTGCCTTGATTTCGGCAGTTATGGTGTGATTGTGCGATTTTTTCACCTTTTTCTTCAATATTAGCCTCCCCAATGCCAAATTTGAGCCATATAAGTGACACGTGTTATATGCTACAAGGAACTAGACATCAAGCGCTACATTTAAGGAACACATCGCATCAGTGCTAGTGCCTTTGAAGCAGTTAAAAATGGTCGCATACTTGCAGAAACACGATTTTTCAAACTACCGACCCCGATTTGAGGCAGAAGGAAGGGTTTGATCAAGTTAAAATGTTTTACGCGTAAGTAAGATTTTTTACGAGTTTTCCGAATATTATAGTGTTTTGGGGCCAAAAGCGGGTTTCTTCCCTGTTTTTGCCCTAAAATAGTGATTTTCTGTGATTTTTCGACTTTTTGAGCCTCCCCTGTCCCTCCAAAGGAGAGAGCGGCCCCAACCAATGGTATTATTTGATTCGGTGGAGTCTGCTGGGCATTTCATCAGAACACACCACCATCGTCAGACCACCAATTTGGTGTGTAAAAAAATTATATAGCCAAAAACCCTGTGAAAATGGTGAGATCAAAATTACATAAAATTTTTTTTTACATTTTTAGA